GCCGCGGCCAAAGCCGGCCGGCCAGTGGGCCGCGGCTTGCCCGCTGGCGCCCGGCCCGTGGAAGGTCCAGTTCTGGCTGACGGCAGGGACGAACTGGACGGGCTTCATCTTCCGACGGTCGTGGACGAAAAAGATGAGCTTGAGGTAAACCAGCTGTGTGGCCAGGAGGATGAGCGCCAGCAGCAGCATGAAGCCCAGCGAATCATTCGCCCTGAAGGAGCGGTGCTGGAAGGTGCACTGGTCCTCCTCCCGTATGAAGGAATACGTCCCTACGTCTAGCACCGGTGGGAACGCCATGGCCACCGACAACGTCCACACCATGCAGATGACCGCCAGGCAGGTCCAGAAGGTCAGTCTCTTGGTGTAGAAGCGGTGATGAGCGATAGCCAGGTAGCGGGTGACGCTGACACAGAAGAGCATGAACGCCGTGTGGAAACAGGAGAGCACACCCAGGAAGGCGATCACTTTGCAGGTCAACGTGCCGTAGGTCCAGGCAGAGCCATTCTTGACCGAAGTGAAGACGAAGGGGAAGCAGATAGCCGAGCGCAGGATGTCAGAGGCGCACAGGTCCAGCAGGAAATAGTAGGGTGCTCGGTGCAGGCTCTTGTCTTTGACCAGCAGGATGGAGATCAGCAGATTTCCAACCACACCGACTCCGATGATGAAACCGAGAGAGGTCAATTTGAGGAACGTGGCGAGAGGAGAGACATTCTGCAAGATGGTGTGGTCCAATGCATGGCTATAGTTCGCCATAGATGGAGGAGGGATCATAAAGATAGCGGAACAGCTTCAGCCAAGTATCATGATCTAGCGGCAGCAGGGGGAGGCGTTGTATCCATTTGGCGGTGTGCTTTGAAGAGGTTTCCAGGCATATAGGCACCCTCTCTGCTAAGGCATCCTTTTGTTCCTTTGTCTCATCACACCTAGAAAAAAGACACCTGAAAAACATCGTCCAGCGTCAGCACTCAGTCTCAGACAACAGCTGCTTTGTTTTCATCAGCTACAACATCCACAATGTCACAACCATCTCTGCCTTTATTTTTTTCTTCTTTTTTTTCAGATTTCATTCTCAAGTCGACCAAACTACCCCCGTCCCTCCGCCTGGATCCCTGTTTGCCCTTTAGACCCTAAACTCAGACGGGCAAGTGATGGAGCTTGATTAGAACCAACCCATTAATCTGTGACAATCATTCTGGACCTGGGAATGTCATGGACAGAAAGAAAAAAAACACAACAAAAGTCCAGTTTTTATCGTACAACAAAAGGAAGCGTTTCTATCACAAAAAAAAAAAAAAAAAAAGCAGCAGAAGTCGTGGTGATTAGAGCCTGGGCTTGGACTTTGGGGGTATTTAGCACAGGGTGAATACAGCAGGCAACAGAAATGCAGCCCTAAAATAAAATCTTGTTCACACCCTTCAGGCTGCAGAAGAGAACAGAGGGAAGCTCTGTGAATAAACCCAGCTTTGTCTTCATGCACTGTGGCCAATCCACGGAGAGCACATGGATGATGATAATAATAATCATAATAACGCATCCCTGATTTTTTTTTCTTTTCTTTTTTGTTCTTCCACTGATCAGAAGGTTAACTGGATTACTGCTCTGGCGTTAATCAGCAGTGTTCTAATTAGGGCAGCTTTGGAACCAGCCTCCATTTTCCGGAGAGCATCTTTCATATTGTAATAAGGCAACAAAGACTGGAGAGAATAAAAAACTGTCTCTCCCCACAATCCGCATTTATGACACGGAATGAATGCGCGGCTGTTCCTCAGCCAGTGTGGGAGAAATGGATGGAAGTGAGTGAGGTGACAACAACAACCCAGATGGCAGCTCCGCGCCGCAATTTGTGCATTTGACGCCTGTTGTTATTGCAATAACCATTACATTGTCTCTGCTGCGCTACGGCGGAGCTTTTTTTTTTTTTTTTTTTTTTTTTTTGCGTCTACTTACGCGTCCTCCTCCGCTCCCCTCAGCCGACTGTTTTACGCGCGTACGGGTCCGATGGATTTGGGGCTAAAAACGCAGCAGGATGAATTCATCATGCCTCAGAATATTAAAACAAAAAAGCAAAATAAAAATCCCATGTCTCTTCCTTCAACAGCCCAGATCGCAGGCAGCAAACAAGACCAGGCCAGAGAAAGGGGGTGAAAAACGGAGAGAGAGAGGAAAAATAAACGATGGAGCGGAGGAGGAAAAGGAGAGCAAAATGAGAGACGGAGGGTAGAAAAAGAGAAAAGGGAGGAGGAGGAGGGGCAGAAAAGCGATCATTAGATGAATTTGAATCCTACCTGTTGGTAAAAATCCTTATCTGTTCCTGCTCGGAGTTATTCACATTGCCCTGGTCGGCTTTTTGCTCTTATTAAAAGCCTGGTTTGTCGCCTGCCCTCTTTTTTCCTCCACGGTGAATATCCTACAGTAAACGGAGCACAGTGCGCATGCGCCCTGCATTCCTATTTGTGATCCAAGACGCGTCTCGTCTCTTGTTGCAGCGGCAGCAGCGGTTGCAGCGGCAGCTCCGTCAACATCTGTTCTTAAGGGGTCTCTGCTGCCCTCTTACTCTGTACTCAGATTACTTTTGTACCTCAGGTTGGCAGACGACACAGTTTAATATTATTCTGACTGGTTTATTATTATGTTTTAATTATTATTTTTTCATGACATACCATTTAAACCAGTCTTATAATGGGGGAAAAAAAAATCACTTTTTTTTACACAATGTCGTCCTCTAAAGTAAAGCAGTGAAAATTAATCACTATATTATGTAATATATTGAGCCCTAAGTTGTAAAAACCAGTGATGTATGTATAATATAAAGTAAATTAATTATCTGCGCATTAAAGAAGTTGGTTAATTGGGTGCGAGCTGAAAACATCACAACAAACACAGACTAAATTAATATTTAAAAAAAAAATGACAAGGGATTAAACAGCATAGCCAGGAATCACTGACGCAGCATTTCCGCACAACATCAAACCACAAACCCTAAAACATAAAATATAGATGTGTATATATATTTAATATATACTTCTCAGTTAGTTTAGGCATGACAGAACTATTTTTAATTCTCAAAGATGCAGGAAAAGGACACAGCGTCATCACTATATAAGTGTCAACAACTGGACCTTGGTCAAGAGGACGTCATAGACCACACCATCCACTAGGAGGACAAAGTGATTATTATTGACCGGTCAGCACAAAACTCTGAGGTGAATCCCATGGAAGTTCAGTGGACTACAGAGATGTATTTATTCAGAAGGAAAGTCTGCAGCACTGCCTACATGGTGGTTCAGTGGTTAGTGTTTCTGCCTTACAGTCTGAAGGTCAACAATGCGATTCCTGGTCTTTCTATAGCGTTGAAATTGCAAGAGTTCCTTGAGTGTCAAAGGTTAATATGTGACCCCACTGTGCTCACGCTGATTTTTTTTTTTTAAATACACAGAAATAGCAACTTCCATACTAAATTAACCGGCCCACTACACTGGGGGCGGCACGGCGACCTCTACCGTACTGTACATGCATAATTGACGAGGCACTTTTGTGCACTGTTGTTCATCCTGCGAGGCCAGCATGACATATTCATAGGATTTGATTTCGCAGCCGTGTATGCACAGCTGTGATGTCACGAGCCGTGTAACAAGTGCAACACAGCGATTCAGTCAGCTTCGTACCAGGAGTGGGCGGGAGAGTTGGCTTCGCTACACCTGTCCTACGAAACATGAATTAATCATAGTGGTACATGTCAAGAATGTGCTGCTACAGGCGCTAGCTGCAACCTTCACAGAGCTGCACGTCCATTTTTAATGTTTCAACCAGCGACCATGCTGTGATGCAAGTATATCAGCGCTAATGTGGACTCAGGAGTTCACAAAACGTGGGTCAGGACCCGTGAGTGTTGCCATAATATTTGGACCATTTTATATTTTGAACTAAATGTGGTTCACTGTATTTTAAATGAACCTAAAAAAAACCAAACAAAGGTCTGCGGTTCAACCACAGGCCCTGCTAGCACACATTTATATACGTATATATATGCATACATACATAAATATATGTATATATACACATACATAAATATGTATATATACACATACATATATATGTGTATATATATATTTACCTACATAAATATATGTATATATACACATACATAAATATATATATTTTTATATATAAATATATATTTATACGTATACATTGTGTATACTTTGAGCAAGTGACCAAGCAAACAGAAGAAAATGCAAGATGTTCATTGAGTATTTGTATTTACTCTTGGTGTATTCCCAAAGTTGCATTTGACAAATTTACAAAAAGAAAAAAGTTGCTTCAGAGAAACAGCTACACAGCATCGCCCCCTGCAGCTAGAATATTAATCATTTACCAGTGTCACAAATATAAAACAAACTAACAAACACAACCCAGCCGGAATGTTTCATCAGAACAGGTGGCTTAAATTTCTATATTACAAAGTGAACCTGTGTTTTTTTTTTCTGTGCATTTTTACGACTAAATACTGGAAATTAAACGTGTGTCATCAGCGGGCGACTGTTCAACAAAGCAGGACAGTAAAACAGTGGCTCCACGTGCGTCACTCCGTGGCACTTCGGTGATGTGTTTCAAACAAATACAACAGAACAGAACAACGGCCACTTAAAGCATGGACACGAGTCATTATATAAGTGCAAAAGTCAACGCGGGCAACAGTTTGGCAAGAAGTGTAACAACACTTCCGTGTTCGGACTTCCGGGATGCTTTCCTCCCCCCCCCCCTCCAGTTGGAGCGTACGTCGTTTCTGGCGTTTTGACGCATCGATTCCAAAAAGACACGTTCCGGTTCAGTCGATTTGACACAAACGTTTGTGCCACGGGGTCCGTGATAAACACCGGGGCTGCAGTAGACGTAAACAACCAACGGCGTCACAGCCGGTCGTTCTGCCTCCGTGCGTACCAGCCGAGGAAGACGCACAGACCCATCACGGCCAGGATGGTGCCCACGAGCAAGGCTAGAGCGTCGCCAGCGTCGTAAGCCTCCGCCGGGGGGATTAGAGAGAGAAACATCAGCCAGACGATGGCTGCAGAGTCTGAAAGTTGCCGTCGGTGTTCCATGGCCATGTTTTCCGCTGTCGACTCACGGGTAGGGAAGCCGGAGCGCCTGCGTCAAAGTCAGGTGACAGCGGCTGGACTTCCTGGTGCGCTCAACCAATGGCAGAGAGCCATTTGATGTCTGTTTTTTTTAAATTTAACTAGTTTTTCTTTTCCTTTCTCTTTTTCTTTCTTTTGTATACTTCAACTAAGAACATTACTCTGCTGCATACAACCTAATCTGACTTAACTTTTAGCATTTTAGCTTAGCGCTGTTCTTAGTAGCAAGTTTGCCAAGTTTAGCAGTCGCAAAAACTTGGCAAAATATAGCAAATACTCAAATTAGCGTCAGCTTTCTTTAATTTTATTATTTTGCAATAAGAGATAAAAAGAGCAATTTCAATTTTTCTTTTTATATTTGTAGCCATTTCCTAGCTTTGCTTGGCTAGATAAGTTAGCCTATCAGGCTAGGCAAGGCTAACTAAGCCTAATCAGGAAATAATTTGGGGGTAGTATATGTGTTTTAAAAATTGAACAGCTGAATTTTGTCCTCTAATTTATTTATTTATGTTTAAATGAATTTTTTTTAGATTTTTTTTTTTTTCAATTTTAATACTCAAAAATTCCCAGGACACCCAGTCTGGCCCGGCAGCTTTATCTCAGTAAATCCTTGAACATACTTCAGATTAAAGACCAAACATGCCAACAACTCATGCTACAAACTGTTTGGCTTGTAGAGCATTGACAGAGAAACAGTTGTTGGGTTTATCTCTCTCTCTCTCTCCCTTTCTTGCTCTCCCGGGGCAGTTTGCCTGTAATTTAATTAGCAAGCACAAGCCAAAGTAAAATATTGACCTTGTAATGCTGCCATACCTCTGTACCTGCTCGCTCTCGCTCCGGCCGAGGAGATGAATTGGGGCACATTTCCTCCACTCACTCTTCTCTCCTTCTCATCACACTCACTCTCTCCACTGCTGCCCCTGCTGTCTGTTTGGCAATTTGTGTTTATCACACACACACACACACACACACACACACGTATGTAGGATTCCACCGGTGCTGTTTGATCTCAGCGGCTGCATTTGTTGGCTGACCGCTGGGCGTGTTTAGAACATGAATCAGGAAACATGAAAACATGGAACGTTGTTTTTTTTTTGAACACCCGAAGACATGATTACAAGGAAATGGTAATAATGTAACAGAGTCACGACAGAAACAAAAATGAAAGACACACAAAAGCAAAGTTGTTGGTGTTGATGATGCACATGTCATTCATTCATTCCTCATCAACTGCCGAAGCCAAGTGTCACCAACTAATATTTGTGGTTTGTGATTTGAGGTGCTGAACAGACACTCCAATGTAATAAAAAAAAAATTAGGGATGTCCGATAATATGTCCGATATTATCGGACATCCTTCTGCCCCTGCTATATCGGTATCGGTTGATATCGGAATCGATATCGTCAAAAAGTTAATATCGGACATTCCTACAACAAACATTATTATTTGATGTTTGATTTTGGAATCCTGCCGCGGCCGGCCAGACTGGACTGTTTGGTGGGCCTGATTTGGCCCGCGGGCCGGCTGTTGATCACTGGCCCTTTTCTAGGATTGTTGGGAGACGCAAACAGACAACGGTGCCATCCTACCACAGGGAGTCCATGCAAAACATTATACAGACTCCTATACCTTCCTGCTGTGAGGCAAGCATGCCAACCACATATGCCACCGTATTGCCCACAACAGCCCTGACAAACGCAGCATTGATTGATAAAGAAAAACGGCTTCGATCAAGAGACACATTGTTGTAGAAGTTTTTAATTTTACTCTTTATCTCACAACTCTTGTGTTGCAATTTCTTTCCTTTTTGCACCAATTTAAAAGGCTGTGGTCCTTGTGAGCGTCGTCCATTCTCAGTCTCCACCCAGAAGAATGGAGACAAAGTCCAGCCTCCCCCACAAAAAAACCCACAAATCATTTGTCCCCACAGATTAATTATCTTCCGAAATTGGCTTCTGTGATGAGACTGAAATGCTGACCCTCAGAGCAACCGCTGCCTTTGTGGTGCTTCAGTGCACCATCCATAATGAATTGTACAGTGAGGGACGTGACCGATGGATTTTTCTCTGTCTTTTGTGTCAGTGCTGGAGTTGTTAGGATACTCAAGAATATAAACGCCTGAATCGACAGAAAAAAAAAAAGCAGCGCTCTGTTTACGAAGCAAAGTTTCTCTGTGAAAATCTGAACATTTCTTCTTTCTCTAGAAGTTTCCAGATGTGTCAGATACTTTTTAAGGGCTCTCAACTATTTATGTCAACACATATTCTATAATAGTTGAATCTGATTAATCATGATTAGTCGTGATTAATCGCAATCATAATTTCATAAGAAGAGTGATTAGCTAGAGCTGAGCTATGTCTTTATCACTCAATTTCTTTTTAGCAATTACTAGACATTTCAGGCGACCCCCTTTGAATTTCAGGTGACCTTGCCTGGGGTCACAATCCCCAGGTTGGAATTTTTTTTAACTAGATGTATGTCTTTACTTTTTGTCATTTACTTTTTTCCCTAATGGAGAATTTTTTCCTACTGTTTTCATTCCATTACTGTACGTTTTATCAATGAGCTTCTGCAGGGAGAGAGAGAGAGAGAGAGATTGGACAAAGTTGTCGATTTCCTGCAGGTGATGGGAGTTTTCCCCGCTACTCAGCGCCGACGTATGGCCTGCGTCAGACGTGGTTGACGGCCGAGTACATCACAAGAGATCCCGGCATGTGTGTGTGTGTGTGTGTGTGTGCACATACATATGCATGGGAGACGGGTGGGCTCATCACAGTTCCCGTCATGGCGGAAACATCACCTCTGGAAATCGTCGTGATGAACGCCATCAAGTGGTTGGTTCGTCATCTGCGGCGTTCATGTTCATGGAAATGTTTGGGTTTATGGTGAATACTAACAGACATGCATCAACACAGCTGGTCACAGAGCTACACCTGTTCTGTCACTTTAGTAAATCTTTTTCTAAAAAATATTGTATTGGAATTTTTTATTTTTACAAAATTGACTTTTATATTTTACAGAAAATGAGTAGAAATATTTTAGATACTTTTATGCAAATGAATATGGTTCCTTTTTGAGTAAATGAGTAAATTCTTAGATTGTAGAAAAATCGAGTCTTGAGCACAGCTGGATCTTCAGGTTCATAGGTCAAACCTCCCTCCTAATCCCAATCTCATTCCAAATTTGGAATGCTGTTTTCTTTCTTTTTTTTTAATATTAAAAAATATTGAGACATAAACAGACGGGAGATTAAAGTGACCTGTGTTTGCACAAAGGATCTTTCTGCTTAAAAAAATCCAATTAAAATATGGCATTGTTTTCTTAAAACAGTGATTGAGACGATGTGTTCCACGGGAATGTGTTTGTGGAGTTATCAGTCCAATTAAAAGTAACCTCAGTTCACCAGAGACTTCCTTCTCCTCCTCGTAGACAACGTGCAAAGACTTTAAAGAACCCCGAACGATCAAGTGGCGAATGTGAAATCACCACTTGTTCTTGTCCGCAACGCTCAAAACAAAAGAAAAACTTTTGTTTGCAGACTCTTCGTCAACTCTGTGACTACAGTCAGTTGTGGCAGAGCGGCGTTCGCTGCTAATCAAAGATGCCGCAAACAGACACTGACTAAAAACTGCAGCGGGGCAATTAAATCTGGGTCTTGGGCTGGAATTTGTGTTCTTAATAATCAGCTCAGGCTCAGCCCGATGAGAAAACTTCCAGGATGCAGCAAGTGTGTGTGTGTGTGTGTGAAGCAGGAGGTCAATAAAGGTCGATAAGATTAATGATGCTTCTCTGTAGCTGTGAGGCTTCTGATTCTGATTGGATGCGACTCATTTGGCAGCTCCAAGGTATATTTAGGATAAACACTCAATCAAAGGAGTTCTGACGGGTCGCACAGACATTTATGTGGATCGTGAGCCAGGTTCTGGTCCAATTTATGCCCAATATTACAACTGTTTTTGTCAGAAACGTAAGGAAAGTTACTGCGATGTGGTCTTCTAAGATGATTCAGTAAGAAAAAGTATAAAGTTTCTCTGATTTTTTTTTACATTATTTTATTTTTAGGGCTTCACTCAAGGCTTATACTGAATAGATTTTTTATAAAAACATCTGAAAAGACTGTTCTCTTCTATGACAAGTGCATCAAGGCTAACTTTCTGTTCTGACCACTGATGGAAACTTTGTTTATTTTTCTCTTGGCTCAGTCTGTCAGTTTTCAGGGCCACTCAGCGAATGCTCAGTGTCATCAGCTGTATTGAATATCGTTGTGTATTTTAACATACATTTAAAAAGAAAAAAAAGACTCTTCTGTCCTGTAGCCTTCACATTTCGTTTTGTTTTAAACGCCTCTTAAAAGTTTTTTCAAAATCACTGTCTTATATAAAATATCAGAAATTGAATCAAAATTCAGAACACAAGTTAAATGATCATTAACCCAAGAAAACATGCTGCAAAGCTACTTTACGCTGTACTTAAAGAGCTGCTGTTTCAGCACCATGGACAGCGACATGCCCAGGCTCACAGGATTCAGTTAAAATCTTAATATAAAGACATTTATTCAACAATATTATTACAGACATTATAAGCGATACTAGCAGATAAATAAGGGATGAATATTCTTCTTTTTTTTTTTTTTACATTACCGTTAATAGCCTTTTAGACTTGAGGAAAATATCCTGAACGGTAAAGAAATATCTTTGTGGAAAGCAAAACCACATTCACCTCATTCTCACAGACCATTTTTCCATCCCTGTCAAGATCGATGTCCCGCACCTCACACAGCAAGGTGAGTTCTGACACTGCCCCTTATCCTCACGTGAACTGCAAACGACTCAGAGTGAGACGCAGACAGCTGACGCGGCGTTCACACCGAATCCATCGCACATCCTCCTACAACCAGACCGCGTTCAGTCGATGCAAAGTGAAGGTCGGTGCAATCTTCGCATATTTACACGTTAGCTGAACAGGAGTGTGCCTAACAGATGGTGAGGACTATTGTTAAACTAAAAAGAATGGACTTTTGGTCCAGCTGAGCTGTGTTTTGTTTTAATTAACTTAA